ACAAATTCACTGAGAGCGTTCACTATTGATGGCTGCCAACAATGGCTGCCAAAACAAATACTAAACAGCGTAGCGTCGTCAAACTTCAAACTTAAGCTTTATAAAGTTGGTACTTTCTACCATAGTCATTGTTTTCAAACAACAACCGCCATTTATATGTCAGGTCGGGTATTTCTGTGACTATCCTCATATAAACCAAAAAACAAAATTTCGGATCTGAACAATACTCAAGAGCTAAAGGAAAAAGGAGAAAAAACTGAGTTACCAGAGGAAGAAAGAGAAAAGAACAAGACGGTTGTCTTCCCATATCTTCAAGGTACAACAGAACGCAGGGCTCTAAACAAACATAACATTAGTGATTTTCAAGCCACCAAAAAAGATCTCACAATTACTCCCCAACCCGAAAGACCAGGAATCACATTTGGATACACCAGGTATATATAAGATCTCTTGTTTCTGCGGAAAAATATATATAAGGGAAGCCGGGAAGAGGATTAGTACACGGACCAAAGGACACCAGCAATTTACCAAGTACGGTCACTTTTCACAATCTGCCTTAGCTGAACACTAGATGGAGACTGGATACACCGCACAGTATGACAAAACAACCATTCTAGCCTCCTCACAAAACTACTACGCCAGAAAACATCGAGAAAGATTGAAAATTCTGGAACATCCCAACAATGTTAACCGAGATAAGGATCTTCAGGTGAACCCTATTTGGCACGCTGTCCTCCCGGTTTTTAATTAACCAGCTGGCCAATTAATATGATTGGTCGAAACATTTCCTCCATCCCGTTCCCCATTTCTCCCAACCCCCACTTACAAGTAAAGGTACCCAAATGTCACTCACCGATTTTGATGAAACTTTGCCCACTTATAGAACTATGGAAAATAATCGATACGTATTTTTTTTAGCTGCGGAGAAGCAGTTTTAAAGTGGAAACTACCCCTTATTTACATAGTGTTTTCGCGTTAGAAGTGCTATCTTGTGTTTATTCGAAAGGCTGAAAGGTTTCATGGGATTTTTGGGGTCGTTAAATTCGAATCTGACGTGAAAATTTAAAAATACAAAATGGTGGATCAAATATGGCGTTTATGTCTCGTGAGTGGGACCATTTTTTCCATGTAAAATAAAATGATGTTGACGAAAATTACGATTTTTTTAGGTTCTCGAGATCCCTCAATGAATAATCAAATACTGAAATATATGGAACATTTATTCTCAATAGATTCATTTAATGTTAGGTGAAATAATAGTAAATTCCATATAAGTTGCCTGAAGACATTTCGTATGCACGCATAAAAACAAATGACAAACAGTAATACTAAAAATAGTGAAAACAATGTGATTTCCCCTATATATGTAAAAAATGGTAATTTTCGTCGACATCATTTTAATTTACATGGTAAAAATGGTCCCACTCATGAGACATAGACGCCATATTTGATGCGCCATTTTGTATTTTTGAATTTTCACATCAGATTCGAATTTAGCGACCCCAAAAATCTCATGAAACCTTTCAGCCTTTCGAATAAACAACAAGATAGCACTTCTAACGCGAAAACACTCTATATAAATAAGGGGTAGTTTCCATCCTTAAAACAGCTTCTCCGCAAATAAAAAAATACGTGTCGATTATTTTCCATAGCTCTATAAGTGGGCAAAGTTTCATCAAAATCGGTGAGTGACAGTTGGGTATCTTTACTTGTTAGAAGAATGGAAAAGTATATAACCACAAACCAGGAAGACTCAGTATCGGAGCCCCTAGCCCTGACGATGCAAATTGCAATGTTTACGAAATGTCGGCACAAAGTTAAATTACGATGCGGTACTCATCCGGAAGAAATATACCCTGTTTGTATCAATGGCCGCGAAAGTTTAAAAACTAGTAATTTTAAATTTAACTGGAAAGTGTAGTTAAAAAAGAAATATTTTTTTACGTATATTTTTTACGTATATTTGTATATTTTTTATAACTCAATGTTTTAGAGTTCAATACGAGAAATTCGTGAAGATAGAGCAGATTAAGATAAACATAAAAGTCCTATTTCGTTTTTGCAATATTCGCAATAATTATGAAGTTATTAATGACAGAAATCTATGGAGTAAACACGCGCCGAGATGGATGACTGGAGAAGCATTGCAGTCACTTCAACAAGAGCGCGACCCACTCGATCTAAATACTGTTGCCAGCGCGCGGCGAGGAGAATGCACCGCTCGTGTTTAATCTCGTCACACGCCGCCGACAGTTGAATTAACTGGGGCGCACTGTTGCTGGCTGCAATAATTCTCTAATCATTTCGACGTGCGCTCACTTGTCAGATTTTTGTCATTAATAACTAGATAATTATTGCTAATATCGCAAAACGGTATAGAATTTTTATGTTTGTCTTATGTTTCGCTCTATATTTCCACGAATTCCTCGTAGCGAATTATGGGATTCTATATATACAGATAACTGCGATTAACGCAATCAATTCGGCTCGCATAATGCTTATGTTTCTTCTTGGTTTTAAATACATCTAGATGGTCAAACTTTGAAACATATTTTTCAAACGTTTTTATTATTGATGATAAAGAAAATGATAAACAATTTTTATCATTGATAATAAGTCAGTCAATAGAAGCCTAAATAATTAACGTTCCTAAAGTTTATTTAAAACACATTATTTAAAACACACGCGTGCACACACATACACATATGTGCACATGTAGAAGTAAATTCAATCATATAACCTCCATGAGATATACTTTTGGTAACGCTAATGCCCACTGTACTGTAACTTTCGGACGTCATAACGCGAGAAATATTTAGCGAAAAAGTATCTTATTATGTTATTAATTATTGTTTATTATTTATTTATTATTAATAATATTAATTTATTACTTATTAATATTTTCGAAAATCCTCGACGTCAGCTATAAAGATATGCATTAAAAAATTGAAGTTTTCATTAAAAAAGTGATCTTCATTACCTAACACCTATTTGACAATGATATTCAAGGTCATACTAATACTACTACATAATGCGTCACTTAAAATATTAACTTTTGTATGAAACACTTTTCGAGAAAGTGCGTATTTTTCAAAAACAACGTTTGATATGGGCATTCTGGAATCTATGCGTGTAAAATGTGGTGTTTGTGCGTGTGCGTGTCGTGTGCGTGTGCGTGCGTGTGCGTGTGCGTGTGCGTGTGCGTGTGCGTGTGCGTGTGCGTGTGCGTGGCGTGCGTGCGTGCGTGCGTGCGTGCGTGCGTGCGTGCGTGGCGTGCGTGCGTGCGTGCGTGCGTGCGTGCGTGCGTGTGTGCGTGCGTGCGTGCGTGCGTGCGTGCGTGCGCGTGTGCGCGCGCACGTGTGTGTGTGTGTGTGTGCGTGTGTGCGCGCGCACGTGTGTGTGTGTGTGTGTGCGTGTGTGCACGCGCGCGCGCGCGCTCGAAATGATGACCGTTAATTTTGCACTTTTGTTAAATGAAAAACTGATGAAGATTTAACAAAATATTTCCCTATCAATATTATAAAAAATATTTCTAATAAATACTTTGTTATTTTCTGGCAGTTGATACATCTTGATACATTTTTCTCTTTAAAAAACCTCCGCAGAAAAAATCTAGAGATGTTAAGTCTAATAAATATATAAGTCATTAAACTTTTTCTTTTTGTCTTTAGCCACTTGTTATTATAATCTTGTTATTATAATCTTATTATAATCTTATGAGCTATGAAAAAATTTTCAAAAGCTGGGAATGTTCATGAACTTTGCGTTGGTCATTTAATCTTGAATGACTTTAACCCTTTCGTTACGGTAGTTCGCTCGGCCGTAGCGCCGCCACTGAACGGGTCCCCGCTCCCCGCGCCAAAAGTGTACACATTAGATAGTCTTTGGCGTTCGGGTTTACGTCTCACGCCTAAACGCCTTGACATGCTTTTGGAAGAAAAGGGACTTTTTTTTTAAAACAAAATATTAATAATTTCTACATAAACAATAATTGTTTTAATTAAAACATAATTATTGTAATTCGCGAATGTCGCCGGCTATAGCCGACGCTTGTCTCTGCGAGTCACATCGTGGATGCCAACTATAGCCGGCGTTAGGAACGAAAGGGTTATGTGTGTGATCATTGAATTTGTCACGAAAAAGACTATAAACGTGAGTGTTTAAAACATTAAAAAGTATGAAATTGACTTTCATCTCATTTTGACAGCCTACTTGGAGATCAAACCGATAGCATTACATATCCTTTTTGAAACTTTATAACTTCTATCTGAAATATTTCATTTTACTTTATTTTTTATATATTTAAGTGTATCAATTTAAATGTTGCACTCTGCGTGCATGCGCGCACACATATGTAATAAGATTCAAAAATTACTGATCTAAGGATATAAAAGATAATAAAATAGGATAAACCATTTTCTTTTTTTATATAAATTACTCTTTATTTCAATATATTTTTTAAAACAATGTATTATTTTTTCTATACCTTGAAAAGAATATTCTGAAAATATCGCTCTTATTCTGAAATTTTGTCTTTAAATTAGTGTAATACTAGAAATAAAGATCGTTTCTTCGTCATTAGTAAATTCCTTTGTACAAATCAGATTTTAATTTTAAAAATAGAAAATTACCCCTATATATATATAAAACTATATATATATATAGTTTTGACTTTATCTATAGTTTGATTATTTTATTATCAAAATTTAAGTAAATTTTTGTGGTTACCAATGATAAAGTAACTTCCAATGTTAAACCATGTTAAGAACAAAAATTCAGAAATCTTTTTAGTAGTAGAAAAATGAATTCATTATTCTAAAAGATGTTCTAAACAATATACTGAAATAAAGAATGATTATATTAAAAAAAATTAAAATGGTATATTTATTTTATCACTTTTTATATCCTTGGACTGAAAACTTTTGGACCTCAGTAATATGTATATACATATTACTGCAGTATTTCAAATCTATGCTGATATTTTTAAACAATTTTTATACCTGTCAACATAGCGCCCTTTGGTATCTTAGCTCCAAGATCTATATATTGCTGCGGATTTTTCAGAAAATTTACAAACTCCATAATTTCTATTTTAGCTTCTTCACATCCAGCTACATCCCTAATAATGCACAACATATATCAAGATATATAACTTAAAATTTATCACATATTTAATAAAACCTAATATTACATACTTGAATCGTACACCAATATCTTTCGAATTGATCAGCTTTGCTGTCGATTCCATTACTTGACCAAATAATCCACCTCTTTTACCTCCTTTACCAGTCATTGCTTCCGCAGATCTTCGAATGAGGAAAATAAGAAAACCTGAAATATATTTTAGTAGTAATTACAATTTGTAACTCATAATGAAAATATTTACAAAATTAATTGCTATTATTGCGTATACATACCCCACATCAAAATCTGCGGTAGATATGACAGTAGGTTTATACTTTCTACTTCATTTTTATAAACCACAGGGATATAATTCTCAGGACCAATATTTAATTCAAGTTGAGCATTTTCCAGATTTCTTTCAAAAGTATCTGTACTACCAATATTGAACCATAAGGTATCCTGTAAAAAATAATAGCACAAATATAAATATATTTAAAAAATAAACTTTAACTACTAATTTTATAATTAAAGAAACATACCGAGCTATCAACAGTATATCCAGGCATAAGTCTTACACGTACCCACTTCTTATTTATCACTTCTAATTTCTCAACAAGATTTTTACCTAAATAACTGAAAAAAGAAAAGTAACTGATATTCTTGTAAACATTAGCTTTTTCTGAATAATTATTTCTAAGTAGTAAATGAATACTTGTTTTATTGATTTTTACTATAATTAATCAATATAATATATACTTGTATACAAATTCTCTCCATGTGATTTCTTTTTGATTAAAATCCTGGGCAAATATATATATAACTAAACCAGCTAAACTAGCTGCACTCAAAATCATGAATGTTTTATCCTTGTCACCACCCTCAAATCCTTTAGATCCACGTTGACTACTGTCTCCAAACATTTTAAATATCCACTGAAAATCTTTGGAGCTAGAAGAAGAGCTAGAGCTAGATGATGGTTTTTGTGTACTAGCTTTTTTACTTGATGCTTCTTCTGCCTTTTTACCAATATTTTCAACATTTTTGGTCTCACCTATATATATAGCATATCAATCATATGAATTTTTAAAAACTCCATAAAAATTATACTATATAAATAATAAAAGATCAATAAATAATTATTTTCATGATATACAAAAATAACCTGGTTTGTAAAACTTTTCAAATCCTTTAGGTGGTTGTTTACAAAATGATCTCCATTTTTGTTGCAATTGTTCAATTGTAGATAATAATGTATCATTTTTGAGTAAAGATAATTGCCGCTTTAACTGAAAAAATGCACCTCGATTTAGTTTTTTGTTTTCTTATTACAGAAACATTTACATTATTCCTTTTAGTACTTTAGCATTAGATACTTTATCATAAAACTGATTTGAATGTTGTAAAATTGTGAATCTATATAATTGATTGTGAAAACTAGCAAAAGATTACGATTATAAAATGTAAAATAGCAAAGTCCAAATGAACGTATATTTCATTAAAAAAAAAAGAAACGATATATTCAAGGCAAAATGTAATCACTAAATTAATAAAACATCAAATTCTCAAAATTTACATGAAATTATATAAAACACATGCAATGTACGTGTATAAAATCGCACAATTAAGATCATAATGATGCTGTCGACACAGAAACGTCGCAATCGAGTACATGACGCCATAACGATATATGTTATATCACAAATAAGCGATATATGATAGATTAGGATACCTGAAATATGTCGAAGTAACCTTTCTGGGTGGATTTTAGAAGTAATTTTTCCAATTTGCCGGCCGATGAAAGCAATTGATGTGCCATGCTTATAACACACGTTGTTCTTATTATCGTACCAGACACTTGATAAGGATCAATTTCTTTATTATTGTTGCTAAATTTTGGGGCACAACACCGGCCGCAATACACCACTTCACATCACAAATCTTAAATTCTTAACGATAAAGCAATGCTCCCCGACATGCTCTTGAAGAGCGATAATAGCAATAGCACACTATGGTTCTGAATTCATCACCGGTAATGTCGTCATTCGGTGTCAAACTTGTTGTTGAGTTATATTACTTGCATTAAAAAGAAGATAAGAATGGCTATCTCCAGAGAGAAACCTGAAAACGGCCCATGAACATAGGAATAACGGAGGATTCACACTACATCTGATGTCCGACGTACGACGTCCGATATCCAATAGGAGAACAGCTTTCTAATGGCGAATTGAATTCTCCATTGGATATCGGACGCTTTGACTATATAACTATGGACTGCTAGCAGCTTACTTTTCCACGCAATAAGTGTCTACAAACATCTGCAGCGCCGCCAGTACCAAACACGGCAAATGATGGAACTCGTTGAGCATAACGAATGATAACGAAGTAGACGTATCTAGTAGCTATATATTATACCATATGAGATAATAATAACACGGCAATTACAAACAAGAAAATAATAAATAAAAATGAAATACTGTGTTGTCCATTGGTGCAATAATTCTATTCATAAAGAGAAAAAGACAGGAAAGCATGTGGCTTTATTTGCGTAAGTCTCTCTCATGTTACATTACAACAATAACTTATTAAATGGTTAATTTTTAAATAAAGTAAGAAAGCAGTGTCGTATAATATGTGTATACATATAAACACATGAGATTGCAATAATAATACGGCAATTAAAAGTAATGTTTGTACAATTTCATGTGTTTAGACATGTATGAGAATATCATATGAAACAAATATATTACTAAAATAGTTTAAATCTTTATTAATATTTTTAGATTTCCAAAAAATCTGGAACATCGTACAAAATGGGTGAAAGCATTGAAAAATGTGGCCATAAAAACAAATAGCACTATATGTCAAGAACATTTTAATGAAACCTGTATGTACAAAACTGGATTGTCATCATTACGCTTGTACGAAGGATCTGTACCATCTATATTTCCACATGTTTCTAATTTAAGGTAATATTACTAAAATTGTTAATACATTTAAACTATAATAATACCACTTTCATACAAACTTTATACAAATAAAAAAAAATTGTTAATAGCATAACAGAAAGTATACACTGTAACGAAAACAATAATGCATCTTCTGAAGTAGTGATGGAAGATGAATCAACAATTGGTTCTCATCAAGGACAAACACAAGATGATATGACATATTCAACAAAAACCAATACTGTGGCGTCAAGTGATAAATGTTTAATAAGATATCCAGGAGATATTACAACCGAAAAAGTGGCAAACATGTCGTCAAGTAGTTTAAGGAAGTTTAATTATTAAATTATTAAAAAAGATTACTTGCGAAACATGTCTTTATCTTTTTAACGAATGTACAGTTATGAAGTCTACATTCATAGAAAGAAAAAGCTGTGGATATTTACATTATCCACGAGAAGATACATATAAACTCATTGTTGCCGCTGATAAAGTTTTTAATTTTTATAAATTACAGAATAATTTGTATAAGAAAAATGCATGCCAAGAAATAATTATAAAAACAATACGTAATATTGATATGGATAAGATATTTATAAATTTTAACAACCACGTTAATGAGTTAGACGTTTTCGAAAATCACAAATATTATTTAATTAAATTAATTATAGAATGTTATATACAGATTCTTATGAATTATGAAGGGAAATTAATGAGCCAAAATATTGAGTACATCAGACATCAGTTTACAAAAATTATTTTATTCAAAGGTCAGTAATATCTTAACAAATATGGAAAATGTAACGTTTTTTTTTACATTAATAACAAAGTTCTATTTTTATTTATGTTATGTTTAACATATATATGTTATGTGATGCTATGTTTAACATATATATTTTTATTTTTATTTATATATAAATACTAATTGTTATTGTATAAAAAAGATTTTCATAACATAAACTATATAACTAATGTAATTTTTATTATATACAGCATATTTTGTGTTCTTTATATTTTCCTTTCCTTATAAATTCATGATCGCAAATAATATCTTTTTAATGGTAAAACAGGAATGAAAAGTGCGATGATAGTTCTAATAATGGCCGTGTTTGGTACTGGCGGCGCTGCAGATGTTCATAGATGCCCAAAGTCATTGCTAGCAATCCATAGTTATATAGTCAAAGATCGGACGTCGTACATCGGACATCGGACGTAGTGTGAATCCTCCATAAGGAGGCGCAGCAGTGCTGTCAGATGGTCAGACCAGAGAGAAACCTGAGAGCAGCCACCGCAGGGGGTACAAACTCCCCTCTTAAGCCAGCGGCACACGGTGCTTGTTTTCGTGCTGAATTACTTGCTGGATGAAAATACTGCGTTCTGATTAGTATATTTCCATCCATCTTCGGAAATGTACCAATCAGAACGCAGTATTTTCATCCAGTAAGCAATCCAGCACGAAAACAAGCACCGTGTGCCGCTGGCTTTAGAAACCGAGCGACGGGTTTTTGGAGCCATGATACGTACCGGAACTGGTGGAACTAAAATGGATCACATGATACAGAGTGGGGATACGCGCTACATTGAAATCCAATACACAGATATATAAATATAAGGCCTGTTCTTTTTCGCTGCACTGCTGCACTGATGCAATAAGTTAGAGTGAAACAAATATATATTTCTCACTCTAACTTATTGCATCAGTGCAGCAGTGCAACGAGAAAAAACAGGCCTTATATATATATTAAACGTGTAATAACTTATATAGCACAATCTTGAAAGGATATTTTAAGAACGTTCTAAGGACATTCATATATCCTAAGAACGTTCTAAGAACATTCTCTGAAGATTTGGTGCTATCTGAGAAGTAATTTTGTATTTTTTGGTAAAATTAAACAATACTTGTATGTTGTTATAATTTCATGAAGCAATGTATGCGAGAGATGGTAGATGATATTGGGTTGTTCAAAAAGTCATTGCAGTTTTTTCAGTGATTTTCAAAACTTAATTTTATACAAAGAATTAACATGAATCAATGATGTTAATGAACGCAAGCACTTTGTGAGGAACCCAATAGTTCAATATATCACATACATTATTTCATGAAATTATAATGACATAAACATACAATTATTCCATTGTACCTGAAAATAAAGAAATTAATTATTATTCAACTCAATATATATATATTTTTTTGTGATGTGTGTATAATAGGGTTCGCAAATTTTATTGAAACAAGCAGTATACAATTTTCGTTTTATAAACATATTATACATATATATATTTTTTTAGTTACAATGGTATATATATATATATGTAGTTTAATGAAATTATTTACAGTTCAATGAAAAATAATTACAATGAATTTTATGCATCAAATTTTTTCCGTTCCACTTGCAGACTGCGGACTATCAGGTACTCTTCTGCCATATACCTGATGTGGTTAAAACAATTTGATGCACTAACAACCTGCACCATATATGTGCATCACTGCACATAAGCATTCATACTCTCACTCTTAACATCGATCTACAATAAGATACGTCTAAAAGCGTATAAAAGAGAGACGTCTTACTTTTAATATGTCTTTTAATATAAGCAGAGAGAAACCTGAGAGCGGCCATCAGCGAAGGTTCAGAAATTTTTATGAATTCGATGCGCCCCCTGAGAAAATAGACGTTAACTACGTCGATGTCGTTCGGTAACGAAGTTTGTCTGTAATAGTTTGGTTCATATCTGAGCTAATACACAGAATATAGTAAAAATTATATATATATCATCAGGAGGAATCATCCCAGCAAACACATTAGGCCTGTTCGTTTTGTCTGCACTGTTGAACTGGTGCAACAAGTTAAAGTGAGAAAACCTACGTTTGTCTCACTTTAACTGAATGCACCAGTTCAGCAGTGCAGACAAAACGAACAGGCCTAATATTACATATAATGTGCATGTTAGTTGTAATTTCCTATTCAACAATATAACTGTTATATAACACAAATGTTATATAATAGTTATGAACTAAGATCTTTATCAGTTTTCTTTCAGTATGTATAACAGTCAAGATATGATGAACAAAATAATTATTCGATAGAAATGTAAATAAGATTATCGAATTTGAAATACCGTATACAAAAAAGTCATTTTCACAATCATAAATAATACTTTTAAAGAAATATCATAAATAACAATATATAAGAAAAATAATATAAAAAACTAATCCACGTTACATGTAATATTGTGTTTGCTGGAATATTTCACGCACTGCGATTCGCGTAATTAGGAAAGGAAATTATTTAGGATAAGAAATAAATATAAGAAATATATTATATTTTTAATTTTTTATTTTCTTTTATGTGTGTATGTGTGTGTGTGTGTGTGTGTATGTATGTGTGTGCGTGCGTGTGTATATATTTGTTATTGCGTCATATAAATATTTATATAGGGCATTCCTCTGCCTCTTCTTCTCCATTCTCCTCTTCCTCTTCCTCTTCTTCTCCATTCTCCTCTTCCTCTTCCTGCATCTTCGCTTCCACCTCTTCCTCTTCCTCTCCCTGTCCCTCTTCCTCTTCCTCTCCCTGTCCTTCTTCCTCTTCCTCTTCCTCTTCCTAGTGCAGCTACCACCGCTACTTCAATAATATTTTGTAATGCTGCAGTCTGTAACAATGAGACAATATTAAAATATAAAGTAAAGAGTTAAATAAGAAGTTACAATTTAATATAATGTACTCAGTAAACATACATGTCTAAAAGACGTCTAAAAGATTTCTTTAAGACGTTTTTTACACATACAAGTACTTTTAGACATGTATGTTTACTGGATATTGATTAATGTCTAGGCCCAGTTCCACAACTTCTAGTTAACTTAACCAGCTGGTTATTTCACTAGACTTGACCAATTGCATTTGACGTTAAGAATTAATCAGAATTAAACAATTACTATTGGCATTTAATCAGTAGTTAAAGTTACACAGAGGTTGTGGAACTGGGCTTTAGACATATATATGTAGGCAGTCTGAAAAGTTCTTGACCTGACACATACATAGCATTAGAAACTGTCAAACTATAATTGTATTGGAAAGTGGCATCCCTGATATAAACCCATGTAAAATTTTATTCGATCTGTCAAGTCATTCGAGTAGTAGCACCAGTTGAAAAAGCTTTGTGCAAGATGGGTGTCGCATTTACTAACAATTGACCAAAAATACATTCGAATACGTATTTTTCAAGCGTGTTTGGCACGTTTTAAGCAAAATAAAATGGATTTCAAGCGTCGTTTTATAACTGTTGATGAAACTTGAATCCATCACTATACACCAGAGCGAAAAGAACCTTCCGGAATCACATTTTAATGATGATATTGAATTATTGGAAAAACGTTGGAATAAATGTATTGAAGTTTTAGGAGATTATATTGAAAAACATATTTCACGGCAAAAAAAATTTTCTTTCATTGTTACGCCAAGAACTTTTCAGACTGCCCTCGTAGATTTTTATACTTACTGTTAACGTTATTGGCTCGGTCGCCATCGTGGCCATCGCTGCCGTCGATGTCGCCCCGGTAATTTTTTCAGACCCCGCCATTGTAGCCATCGTGGCTGTCGCGGGCGTCGTGACCATTGTGGCTGTGGCGGGCGTCGTCGTCATCGTGTTAAGCTCGTTCTGAAATAATTCATGAAACATTCATGAACATATTCGTTATAAAAAAGCATTTATAATATATATATATATATAATTAATATTTAACGGTTAAATATATATTTACCTCATTCGCCGACATCCTCATATATGCACTGTCTAACACCTACTAAGCAACTGACATCTACTGACACCAACTAACTGGAAAACATATGCAGCACGCTAGGCACATAGCTGCGGATTGTTTATGATTGCGCGTACGTGCGCGCGTTTTCTGAAACAAATAAATCATATAGGAGCACGATATAAACAACGACAAAAAACGACAAAAAATAAAAAACGACAAACATACGTTGTAAAAGCTATCCATGTCGAATCCAAATAATTTATGTCATGTGAATTCATGCACGAGTTACTTACATTAACACAACTTTTTTCACCACAGTTAACTTGTATAAAAGTTGTCAATAAACTTTACAAGCGTTGTTTTTATCATTCGCTTGACGATTTGAAACAAAAGAAGCGCTATAGCACTGCTGTTTAGCGACTCTGTCGCCGAGAATAGTCAATCTGCGTCGCGAGGTTCACAATAACGTTTGTTATAGCGGTGCTTCGCTATTCGTGCTTTGTGATAAGTATTTTGATCTGAGCTGCAGTCTTTTTTTCCTTCGTGAGATTAGTGTTTTACAACATTTGTTTCTAAATGATCTCTCAGATCTACGTGATCTGTCTCTTTTGCAACACGTATTACGATTTTTTGCCCAATACCATCATTAATAAATATATTTGTATACGCCTGTATTGGTGTGTAGACTTCATTGTATTAGTTCATTTATTCATTCTTTTTTTTCCTTTTACGTGTTGCTTTTTTTCCTTTTTCCATTTTTCTCTTTATTCTATCATTTTTAGTTTCTTACTTTTTACATATTTTTTCTCACATATCTAAAATTATTTTTTGCACTGCATTGCAAATAAAAATATAAAGACTATGTTGACTCTAGAAGATAGCTTTTATAACAGGTACATGTATAAAGATTGTCAGAATGGAAATCAACTGGAAAACGATTATTCAAATTCCCAATGCAGAAGGATGTAAGATATAATACATGGATACTTAATACAGGTAGATCTTTCTGCAATAATAATTTTCTATATAGAGGAAATGCGGATAATAGTACGCATTTTTTACATTTAATTAATTGTACACTGTACAATTTGTAACGATACGACATACTTACTCCAAACTAACACTGAATATGAAGTGTTATCTGTTGTGTACTGACACTACTAAAAATTGAAATTGATATAATTGAATTAATAGTGCTTCAAATAATTAACAATATGAAATGCTGCAAATGCGTACTCTTGGACAACCTATGAGATAAGAATACGCACACGAAGTACAAGGATACGCATTTTTTATTCTATTAATTAAATTAATGAAATTGATTAACCCTTTGCGGTCGGCAGATTTCGAAGAGATCGATAAACATTAATTTATTAATTATCTGTAAGTTGATCTAAACATTTGAATCTAGCATCGGGAGGATAGTTTTCTTTCATTATCGCTAGCCTCGTTCGCCGTACCGCCGGCCAGGCGATCATGAATGCCAGCCTGGCGGCACCGACTTCTATGACGACTTGCGAATGCCGCCATTGTGGCGGCATCGACCACAAAGGGTTAAATGTCATCCTAACTTACTGCGGTTACAAATCCTCTATATTTTTGCACTTGTATTTTGATGATCTAAAACTAAAAAGAGCCGCCGAACTTCTTAGACCTAACGACGATATCGATATCGCGCGACGCGTAAGCGGTACGCGAGGATGACCGGCCGGTCAATGACATATACGCTGCGGCGGCTACACAGACAGACCAAAAATGCTCGCGACAACTATTGTCGGGAAATCATTAAAATTTTTTCCTCATTTAATAATTACTTTAAAATATATATGTTTATGTGTGTTTAATGATAATATAACACAAAAATGCGCAAAAAAGCTGATTTCTCATATAGCGATGGACCTTAGCGGCCCGTGATCGTCGCCTCGGCCGCTAAGCGCGGAACAGTACACAGTGGGAAAAAACTCATTTTTTGGATAAAAATCTACGGATAGTGCAATTTTGATTGCTTCTTGTACGTTGGAGAAAGAAGCGACGTGGTAACTGTGCGAACCTAGCACGTTGTACTCTTATTTTTTATTTTTTGGGTGTATTGTTGCAGAACTATTTTTTTTTCGTTATAGAGAAACTGTAGAACTATCAAAAGCGCTATTAGAACTCTACTTGTTTTTTTCATATTGATAGTTTGACGTGTTAACTTCACATACATGCCTCCCCGCTCCTCCACGCGCTCCTTGAATGCTTTATTTAAATTGGTTATAAGGCCTTCTGAATTTTTATTTTTCTCGCGAACAAAATTTTCTTACTCATTATACTTTTACCTAATACTAATGTGCATGAATACTTATCGCTACGTGATGCAGCTAAAAATTATATTTACACGTTAGACCCTTCTCTTGTAAGATGCTACGTTCAAGTTGAATATAAGTTTTTTCATAATTAGTTCCGCAGCCGTATAATGCTATATGCAAGATTTACAGTCCTGCAAAAGTTCGGAAGAGTCTTCTTGTATAAAAGCACAAAAACTGAATAGGTTTGTTCGCGTCGCATGCTCCAATGTACACCAGGGAGCATTTGGATCACGGATAAGATGGTGGTTGGAGCAGATGAGTTCATGTGCACCAATGCTCAGTGATACGAACGGATTGGAGCAGTTTCTCCTCTTTTAAGATGCATGCAAACATGCAAATTAAACTCGCAGCATGGATCCATTGGAAGATTTTCTCATTGGCTTTAATATATTAATTATGAATGAAATTAATGAAAATCTTTTACCTTTAGCTGTAATCCGTGATTTATTTGTGAAAGACAATGGGAACGACGATGAAATAGAGAGTGAGTATTGATGAAGATGTGACATCCTAACCTTATTTGCTATAACCTCTGCACATTATTAGTTTTAATTTGTCTTTTCGGTAATTATACAGAATATTCCCCTCACCTCCGATTTTGATGAAAAAATATTTAATCGACGCATTTTTTCAAGAGAAACAACTTTTCTATTTGAAAAAATCTCTGTCGGAATCTTATCTGTCGCCTCCGTGACAGATTTCCTAACCTAAATTGTCATCAACTTTAACAATTTATATCTCGCTCCACAAGACAGAGCGACGATTTTTTCAAATAGAAAAGTTGTTTCTCTTGCAAAAACGCGTCGATTAAATATTTTTTCGTCAAAATTGGAGGTGAGGGGGTATTCTGTATAATTACCGTCATTTCCTTAAATAGTTAGTGCATTTTTATTTGATTTTATGTAATTTGTAGATATTGCTATTAATGCAGTTATTGAAATGGCTGAAGGTATCATTCAAAGAAGACGTAGAACATGCATAACTAATTATATTGAACAAATAGTGCCAATGTATACCGATGAAGAATTTATTATGCATTATCGTTTAAAAAGAATGCTTTTCAGAAGCATGGTGGACAGATTTAGTTATTGGGCACATTTTAGAAATCTAGGAGGTAAGTACTGTTTTTTAAATTAAAGATTTAATATCATAAGTTTTTCATTTTATTTTAAATAAAGTATAATTAATATTTTATATAGGACATGGAGGATTTGAAGTAGTTTCGGCTGAAAAACACATTCTTACTTTTCTATAGTTTGCTGGGCATCAAAGTACAAGTTTCAGGGATGTTGATGATAGATTTAATTTGTCTCTTAGTGCCTTTGAATCAGTGTTACAAAGAGTCACACAGTTTTTATATGATTTAAGAAATGAATTTATTCGGTATGAACCCACTGAGGCAGAAAAGCAGAGAGCGCAGAGATACTATGTAGAAAATAAAAATTTTCCAGGAATAATTGGTAATAATGTAATTTTTTCTGATGATGTACTTAATTTAAACTTACATTTTTGTAATTTAGTGTGGGTAATGATATAACTTAATTAATATTTCTTTCCTGTTATAGGTTCTATTGATGGTTCACACATCCGTATAGACAAACCTTCTGAAGACCCAGTAGCCTATATCAATAGAAAACATTATTTTTCCATTCACATGCAGGGAACAGTTAATGAGCAGAACAAGTTCTTAGATGTGTTAATTGGATATCCTGGCTCAGTGCATGATGCAAGAGTATTTGCAAATTCTAGTCTGGCTGAAGACTTACCAGCACTCTGTCACAGTATGAATACATAATAATCATAAACAATTATTGTATTATTGTTTTAGTCGAATATCTCTATTCTTGTTTAATTTAGTTAATATACATATACTTTATCGTGAATGTTTATTTAACTTTTGATGTTTATCTTAAGCAAATGTAATTTTTTTAGACAGAAACATAATTCTTGGAGACGCTGCATATCCATGCCTTCCTCAATTAATTACTCCATATCGGGATAATGGACATCTTACACAGGCCCAAAGAAACTTTAATCGTATACATAGTCAGTGCAAAATCTCTGTAGAACATACATTTGGAGTATTGAAACAACGTTTCAGGGAATTATATTTCCTTAAGCTGAGGAACATGCAGTTCATCATTAAATTCATTTTCGCTTGTTGCGTCCTTCATAATATGGCTGACTTTAATGATATGCAATACATGGAAGAACCCGAGGACGACAATCATGCTGATGTAAATGCACAGGTGTTGTTATGTCCTGCCAGAAGATAGGGATGAAAATTTTGTTGATGAACGACGTGGTTGTGATCTCAGAGATGAACTATGCCGACAATTGTTCCAAAGACGATTCAACGTAGAGTAGAGATATATTAAGACAAATTTTAATGACTATATGATATATATATATATAAATATATAAAAGTTCAGCGTTAAATAAATAATATGTTTATATCTTACATCAATATCTATGTTTTCAGTCTTCATATGATAATTCTTTTTCTTAGGTATATTCTTTTTACCATTTTCTCTAATATCGCTATATTGTTTTTGCAAGATATTATTTTGCCTTTTTTGCGTTTTATTACACTTTTAACGTTTTGGAATTTTGTACGCGCTTATTGTAAAAAAAAGCAATTGATTATTTTATTTTTATGTTTATATATATCATGTGCTCATACATATTTGTCTGAATATACCTTAAAAAGTGGCCATGAGAAGATTATTACTTCTTGTAATAAGTTCTACTTTTTTTAAGTATTCTATGTATATATAGCAAAGTTAAAATACACATCTATATTTTATATTTATTTTATATGTTTGTATATGTATTTTAATTTAATTTTTTTACACAAACAATTTAACATAATGATCGTTATCTTAACAATCGTTATATTAAATTATTCATATTAGGAGAAGTTAAGAAAGATAATAAAATCTCTTAAATATTATATTAAAGTTTTATTTGTGATTATAGAATGTCTCTGAACAAAAAAATTCTTTTCAACAATACATATCAGTTATCCACACATCAGTTTGTTTTAATATCATATATTTTATATCTCTAATAATTTTTTCATAAAAAATAAATACAATTAATGTATAATGCACGTGTGTAATATTTCAATAAACTGACTAAACTGACTAAAAATGACTGATGATTAAAAGAAATTTTAATAGTTTTTATCCTTTATCAGCAACTGATTTGAAATAATACTGCTTTATTATGCAAAAAAACTCAATCGAGTAAACTTAACTTTGACTTCTCGAGAAGTTTAATACGAAGTCTTATCGTGCTATCCATTAAAATTAACAGAAAACAAATAAATAAAAATTTGAGAAATTAAATATTTATATTTAATCAAAAACTAAAAACATAACCAACATTGTTTTAAATATGGTCAAATAAAATATATGTTTATATCTAACAATTATTTCAATGTTTTCAGTCATGTAATAATAATTTCTCTGTTGGATTTATCTTTTTGGCCAAATTTTCAAGTACCATAAGTTGTTTTTGCAGAATGATATTTCGTTCTTTTTGCAATTCGTTAAATTTTTGAAGCTCTGTCAGAAATTTTGTGCGTATTTCTTGTTTATCATTACTTTCTTTTTGTAATACGGCACAAATGGATTCTTTGACTGATTGCAAAGTAAGCGCCAATTTGCCATCTCGTACTTTTACTCTTGTATTTGTTAAAGAGGAGCAGCTGCTACCCGTCATTGATGATCTGCTGCTATTAGTCGATAATGTCAGAACTGAAACATTGCTCCTTGTTGGTGACGAATTGTTTCTCGATGACAAGAGATTTAAATTGGTACCTACAGTTACGGGATTCGGTGAATGTAGTACAGAAGAAATCTGCTCTTGTTGCTCTTCATTCTCATTTCTATAATAGAAAACACTTTTAATTACTTATCTAAATGAAGACAAGAATTTAAAAATGTATTTTAGAGAGATCATTACTCACTCACAAATTTTGACAGACGTTTTGCAAAATTTCTTTTTGAGAAATAATTCCATTACGGCTAGCTACAATAAGTGGCACTCCACTATGACTTTTTCCAAATATTTTTATCATTTCTCTATAAGGAAAAGTATACAATCCATTAGTGATTAAATATATATACTTTAAATATTTCGAAAATAACAAAAAGAAAGCAAAAATATCAAAAAAGAAAACTGATTAAACTGCCCAAATAGACATAAAGATATCTTTTAGACTTCTAAAAGATATTTTGCTATGTCTCCAGATGTCTTGTATTTCTGAAAAAGATATTTTTTAGAGATTTAAAAGATACCTTATGCAACAAGTTAAGATATCTTTTACATATTTCGATGAAATGTAAAAAAACATCTTACACTTTAAGACGTGATATTTTAAAACGTTTACAAATTTTATTTTAGATATCAAAAAATATACTTAAGTTATTTGAAAGATATTTAAGGACATATTAAGATCTAGAAAACATCGAGATCTTAAAGATATGTAAAAGATATCTCATTATAGATATCTTCAAGATATTTCTAAAAGATATCTTTTAGATATTTTTTAAAAATATCTTTTCTTAGAAAATATTTAAAACATATCTTTTAGATATCTTCAAAACTTTCATGTTTTCTGAGTATCAATTGAAAGTATTCCATTTAAAATTATGACACATACAAGAAACAGAATGAACATAAAACTTACTCTTCATATGGAAGAGGTTTTGTGCCTTTTCCAGAGCTATTTTTTCCAGTGGTCCGTTTAATATGTATATCCCATTTCTTCTTCAATAATTTAAATTTATTTTTCATATGATTTTTGGTAGCATTTATATAACCTTTCTTTTGGAACGACTCTGCTAACGCTTGAAACATAGCCTCCTTACTTTGATATTTCCGTTTTTGAAACTTTTTCTCATGTTCTTCATATTCTGAGAAAAATAACATTATACTTTTGACTCCAAATAAAATGGCTATCACTGTTGAAAACACTGTTGAAAACAGAATCATTCTCTTTTTCATTATCTGTCATAAGTTCCTTTTCCATAACTGTGGAAGAATCTGAGTTTACAATCGAAAAATCCAATGAACTCATAATTGTATCTGTATGCTGCGTAGAGCTTGTTGCTGTAATGGAAGGACTTTCATGCAACTGAATACTGGAAGGACTCATCTTATTCATTAAAAGCACTGTGGTTAAGTATTGTGTTAAGTCCATTGTGTGAGTTACGGCAGAAGTATTTGGTGTTTGAGGCTTAACTAATTTAAATGACAATATTTTTGGCATGACTTTTATAGCTGAGTTCTTTGGAATCATAGATCCTGTTATTAAAGAATTAGCATTCGGGTGTGCTATCATAATTTTCTGATTAGATTCAGCCATTATGGATTGTTTGTCTTGCTGAAGACACTATAACAAAAAAATCATTAATATTAAATACAATAGTTGTGTAAGTGAACACTTCTTAACTGGTTAAAATAACTTTAAAACAAATAATGTTGGAATATATTAATCACAAATTACTGAATAATATGTCGTATGTAAAATATTACATTTTTGCTCACGTATTAATTCAAATAAAATATAAACATAAGTCACACAAATTGTCCTAAAATAAAATCACTTAACCTATTTTGAATTTACTATTAGTTAATTAATTATAAAAATGCATATTTCATCAGTCAACTAAAATCTTATGCAAGATATTTTAAATACCTGAATATTTAATACACGTTTTCTTAATTTAGTCGTACTTTTTTGCATTCTTCTTCGCAAAAGTAAACTAATGATTGCGCATGCGCTCATGACAAAACTGTTTCTGCCCAAACTGCACCACCTCCGAAGCTGGGGTAAATGGATCACACTCCTACTTGCTCCTTGAGGAATGCTCCAATGCGACGCGAACGCTTGGTCGCCATATAGTTTCCGGTGATGCAAACGGATTGGAACACATTGGGGCAAATAGGAGCATGTTGGAGTGTGCGACGCGAACAAACCTAATGACACAACAAAATTAATGGCAATGACTAAATGAGTATACGAATTGAGATGCTGGCCGAAATATCGAAGTTGTAGGCATGTCAAAACAGATCTTGTATATTTGTAAGCATACTGAAGCATTTTGTACAGGGTTGTAGGCACGTTGTTAGCACTATACAGGATGTTAAATTTCAAACGTAACAGGTAAAAAATCTCGAAAACTATGAAAGATAAAAATAAGCTAAAACATGTGTTCCATGATTTCGAAGAGGAAAGAGACTGGCATTATCAGTTTTTTATTTGGAGAGTATTTTCAAGGTCAGTTGAAGGTCAATTTAATTTTTTTTAATAGAAAGCTCAATTTTTCATTGCATCTTCTTTTTCTACCAATTAATTTTAACAACTTTTGTCTGAATTATTTTTTATTTCCTTAATATTTTTTGAAACATTTAAGGAAAACTTGGTAACTTTCAACATTTAGTTTACGATATCTCGGTAACAATTCGACGAAAGAAAAATAGTATTAGACTTTTATACTTCATTTATTATCCAGAATATATTACCATAATAGTGCCCTAACTTTTGTTAACTTATCGACCTTTGGAAATTTCAAAATTATTAAATTAACAAAAGTTAGGGCACTATTATAATAATATATTCTTGACACTAAATAAAGTAAGAAAGTCTACTTTTTTTTTCGACAAATAGCAAGATATCGTAAGTTAAATATTGAAAAAGTTATCTAGTTTTCCTCAAATATCTCAACAAATATTAGGCAAATAAAAAAATATCTTAGACAACAGTTGTTCAAATTAATTGGTAGAGAAAAGCAGTGTAATAAAAAATAGGGGTTCCCATTAAAAATTTTCAAGTTGACTTCCAAATGACCTTGAAGGTCATGGCCAAGATCAAATTCAAGGTCACCATCAATTTCGTTACTCAATTTTCTACAACTGTTGTATATAAAGTTTTTCATGAAAACTTAATCCTGCAAAATTATTCGGGAGGTCCGGTATTTTTAAGACAGTCTGTATATCGATGGATTCGATATTAAATGCTCTTAAATTTTTATCTTTATAAAAATTTAAAAATTTGCAAAGGTAATGGAGAGGAGAGAGGAGGAGGGGGTAAAATATTGCATTTTGAAACATTTGAATAGACCGGTGGAAAGAGTATAAAATACTATAAAACTTTTGTCTGAAAGACTTTTTCATATACTTCATATTTTAAGAGATATTAAATAAAAACGAAAAAGTCCGTTTTTTTCAAAGAGTTTCGACCTCTAAACATCGAGATAAGCACATAAAAGAATACGTATCTAATGCTTTTTGATGCTCTATAAAATATCTAA